TATGGGGGTAACGTTTAAAAAACATTCAACGGTATGTACCGGCGTTTACGTTAGATCAACTTGGAGTAAAAGGCATGGCCTAATAATTTCCTTTACGTCTCATAATAAAAATGAATAATTTTAATGTAATTGTAATTAGAAAAGTAAGTAAGTAAGTAAAAGTAATTGAGAAGTAATTGTTGATTCAAAATTTAATTATTTTAAACTCGATTATTTTTGTAAGTGAAAGAAAAATGAAGCAAAATTGCTTCCTTCTACACCTTAAGACCCATCTATGGGAGTCAAAATGCAAACATAATGTACACCGAATACATATGTATACATCATTAAGTTGGTCACCCGAGTCGGTAGCTGTATAAATGCGGTATCAAACTGTTTTATTGCGGGCGACGCATGATTTAATGAAATCTTTAATATTGAAGATAAGACCCGGGACGGCGCTCGTAAATTGCCCTGGGCAATATATACCCGGCCTCCTCCGACTCTAATGCCTTCGGCTTGAAATAATACGGGCCTCGACTTTCTTCATTTCTGAAGGAGGGCCACGGCGTTTTTGTGATATAAAATTTTAATTTTGCCACTACGCATTGCGGCTGGTGCCTCGTCGTAACTTTCATGGCGTTGATAATGTCTAATAATCTCATATAATACTGTCGTTAAACGCGTAATGAGGTTTTCGTCGTGAAAAGAATTTTGTGGGCCGGCAATCTCTGTGCCGGCGCGCCGTTTCGTGAAAACTGTGTTCCGACATAAAAAACAGGTATTCTGTCATTAATTTTGGTATTAATCCTTTATGGTGTTAATTTTTGGTACAGATAAACTAAGTTAAGTTTAAGATGGTATTGATATAATACTATACTAGTAACTTTAATTTACCACTTTATATTGTAATGATCTTTATCTTTGTATATAATAAAATAAATAATAAAAAAATTTACCCATTAATTTTCTTTCGGTTAATAATTTGCAATTGGGTCCCGTCTGATACTAAACTTAATGCGTATATTTAACTTAAGCTTTCAACTAATAATATAGTCTGTTAAACCGAAGTAAAGTTTGCTTTGTTTATAATTTATTTTAATATTGTTTTCTGTTTTCAATTTTGTTTCGGTCTACTTTTAAATTTTCTTTATTGCAGTCAGGTTTTTGATTTTTTTAATTCTTTATTTTATTTTAGACTTTTTAGTGTCCCGACATACTCCTATGAACTAAATTTCATATGATAGCACGAGGTTGGACACAAATAATAATAAAATAAAATAAAAAATAGGTTTGGTATATTTTTTTATTAACGTATAACTATTTTTCGGCAAAAATCCGCCATTTTTTTTTCAAACAGCTATCGAAGAACACTTGGGTTTTTAAGACGAATAAAACGATACCTTAATTGTCGAAGTCCATCTAGCCGTTTTGAAGATACTAGGTAATAAATAAATGTACAAACATACAAGATACGCGTAAAAAACATAACCACTTCTTGGCAGTCGAGTAAAAATTAGGTGTCACATTGTATGACCGAGATGAATACCGAAACCACAAACGATTTTAAAGAAATTGAATTAATTTTATACGTGGTAGAGCCATGCTGCAGCTATATTAGTAATATAGTTGTAGCACGAATGGGTTGGCTCGACCGGGGTAGGACTACGCTCTCACAAAATACCAGCGTAAAATAGCAGCTTAACACTGCTGTGTTTCGTATGGTGAGTGTAGAGAACTGGAGACTCTTTTCACCGGAAAAGAAGCATTCCATCTTAGTCCTCACGGCTGACAACGCATCTGCATTTTGATTTGCAAACGAGGATAGATCTAGATATCTATGGGCCACAGCAACCACTTATCATCAGGTGGACTGTGTGCCCGTTTGTCACCCTATCCTATAAAAAAAATTGTAAATGTGTGTTACTTGCTTCAACTTGAGAGATTTATCCCAATAATAAGTGATCCTCAATATTTTTATTGCGAACTTAAAGATTTTTTAAAGGACAAAGGGTTTTCAGTAAGGACAGAAGTAAGTCTGTCTGGCCAGCTAGAAATTTTATAATTTAGAACAAAAATTTGGTGGATAGAAATTTTCTTTTATTTTGAGTTATAAATACAATAATACCCAAAATGGTAGGTAGAGACTGCGGACTTCCACCTTGACGCACCTTTCTCACTTATTTCACATATATCTAATTTTTTACTTTCCATCTGATGGTAAGTGGATACTGTGACCCATAGACATTTACATCGTCGATTAAAAATCCAAATACAGATGCGTTGTCACCCCTGATGTCTAAGATGGCTCGTTTCCAGTAAAAAGGGTCTCCAGGTCACTCACCATACGAGACATTGAGCTGCTATTTTACGCTGGTATTCAGAGAGATCGTGGTCCTTCTCCGGTCCAGCAACATCCATAATATTATAATAATAATAGTTGTATACTTTATTTATACTATTTGGTACGAAATTGGCCCACTTTTTTCGCTTATTTCAAATACATATATATCTACGTAAATACAGCCGTGAGCCGAGGCAGTTCAAGGACTTAGCGCTCGCTGTAAATTAAACAGTACGCGAGCAACCTGGGTTCGATCCCACCGGCACCATAAAATTGTTAATTGCAATTTTAAGTGCTGATTTGCCACGTGTTCGGCGGTGAAGGACAACGTCGTACGGAAACCTGCATGTCTGAGAAATAAAAAAAAAACCGGCAAAGTGCGAGTTGGACTCGCGCACCGAGGGTTCCGAACAAATCTGTAGGTATATAAGCTTAAAATTATTAAAAATATTTTTATTTTATGATGTAACTAAAAATTTATGCTTTTCGCAATTTTTCCTTTATCTGTGCTATAAATAAAACGTTGCTTCGTACCAAATTTCAAGATTCTGAGTTCACGGGAAGTACCCTGTAGGTTTTGATTCCCTTGCGAATGGCGAAAATTTACGGCATAAACGGCTGTATCTTTTGATTGCGTTTGCTTAGAAGTTTGATTTTCCGCTTTGAGCTCCAAGGGACAGTAGACTTGAGTATTTGATATGAATTTCAGCTTGATACCTCCACGCGTTCCTGAGAAAAAGGGTCTTGACAGACAGACAGACAGACAGACAGACGGACAACAAAGTGATCCTATAAGGGTTCCTTTTTTTTCCTTTTGAGGTACGGAACCCTAAAAATTATATCAAAGGCGTGTGAAGTTCGTCAACACGCATTAGGGCAGCCCGGGGGACTTTTCCTTGTCCTAAAACCCTCTCAGAATTGAGAGAAAGCCTGTGCACTGCTGTGGGACGTATACTTATATAGGCTGCAAAGGGAATTGCTCAGTTTGTTAGGGTAATTTGGCTCAACTTGAACACTAACTATAATATTTTGACTGGGGTTTTTAATAGTTTATACCACAAAGAAACGAATTATAGTAATAAGGTTGCAAGAAAGTGTAAAAATAGTTTATATTTAGCATGTGTAATGCTAAAACTTGTCGCTGAAAAAAGAAAGAAAGAAAGACATTTATCCACTGGAACTGTACACATCACAAAAATAAAAAATAAAAAGTTAAAAGTATGGTAGATTAAAATTACAAGAGTGTATCGAGCCAGTGAAAAGGTTATGACTCATCGTAATGCTGCAGGGTAACCTACAGCGATGATGATTCTGCCGTAACCACAGAAACACGCACGATCCGCCTGGAAGTGTTTATGACATACATTTCAATAATTATTTTATAAATTGAATTATTTCCTTGCTAATAAATATACCTACATATACATTTAGGGATATACACACATACATACATACAAGACATATTATACATAAATATATTCATAGCATATTATATTCTATAGAAAACTAAAAAGGTTTCAAAAACATATATAAAAATAAACGTAACAATAAGCTTTGCAAATACACACTAAAACAAACATATAACAGTGGTAGAGCCACGCGGCAGCTTTTGCTGTCGCACGGATGGGCCGGCTCGAACCGGGGTGATACCACGACCTTACAGGAAACCAGCGTGAAGTAGAGGTTTACCTCTGCGTTTCGCTTGGTGAGTGCAGATGGCCGTAGGCCCTTTTTACTGGAAATGAGGCATTCCATCTTAGTCCTCACGGGTGACAACGCATCTACATTTTGATTTGTAATAGAGGATAGATGTAGATGTCTATGGACCGCAGCAACCACTTACCATCAGGTGGACTGTGTGCTCGTTTGTCACCCTTATCCTATAAAAAAAAATAATGCTCAACGATGCTGGAAGATAGGCTCAAGGTTGAGCTTTTTGTGAGTGTAATAAATGATTTTTATAGTGGGATTTAAAATTGTACTTTGAATTACACTCACGAATAGGTGGAGGAATGTCGTTCCAGCACCTTGTAGCTATATATTTAAAACTACCTCTGAAAGCTGCAGAACAGTAAGTGGGATTGGCAAACGGGTTCGTACAAGACCTAACGATGTTTTGTCGATTTCTCCATATAAGTTTATCATATAAATATAGGGGTAACTTAGTTTTGACAACATAAAATAGAAGATTAGCGAGGTATAGTTTCTGTCGCGCTTTCATTTTCAAAATACCTGCTTCATTGAAAAAAGGTGTTACATGGGACCGTTTTGGTATTGAGAAGCAGTATCGTGCACATGCATTTTGTATACGTTGAATTAGACGTTGTGACTTTTCCAAAACACAGGGTCCATACACTGTAATGCAGTGGTTTAATTTTGAAAGAACGAGAGATTCACACAGTCTAATTCTTAAGTCCAACTGAATGTATTCGCGGATTCTATATAACACCTTTAACCTATAAAAGCAGTTGCGGACAAGCTCGAGTACGTGTTTTTCAAAACGCAGTCTGCTATCCATAACTAAACCGAGATTACGAGCTTCATCTACACGCTCCAGAGGGATGTTTAACAACATGATTTTAGGGTTTTGATTTTCTAAAAATTTGATTTGGTTTTTTGATCCTAAAAGCATATACTTAGTTTTTAGCGGGTTTAAAATGAGGGAATTTTTCTGTGATCATATTGCAATTCGATTCAGGTCCTCATTGATGTTACTAATTGTGAAAAGAAATTCAAGTGAATTACAGGAAAGATATACCTGTAGATCATCAGCATATAGGTGGTATTTGCAGAAGTGCATACAGTTAGTTATATCAGCAGTGTAAATTATAAATAACAATGGTCCTAAGATAGAACCCTGTGGAACACCTCTATTAAGTGGTCGTTGTTCAGAAACAAGGGAAGACCCATTTGGTTGATTTAATATTACTTGTTGTGAACGGCCGCATAAGTAACTTTGAAACCATTTTATAGAAGATGTTACAAAACCATAAAACGATAGCTTAGACAGCAGCAAATCTATGTTAATAGAATCAAATGCTCTTGAAAAATCAAGCAGGGTAAGGATCGTACCTCTACCAGAGTCTTGAGATGTAAGAATATTGTCAACCACGTCAAGTAAAGCAGTAGACGTGCTTCTACCTTTTCTAAAACCTGATTGTAAGTCAGGTAAAATATTGTTAGCATCACAAAACTTGATGACTTGATTATAAATAACTTTTTCTAAAATTTTTGCAAGAAAGGGTAGTATACTTATTGGCCTTAAGTCTTTGAGATCCTTAGGATCATTGTTTTTAGGTAAAGGACGTACGAGAGCTATTTTCCACGAAGAAGGAAAAGTAGATGTTTCAATTGACTTATTTATGGTTGCTGTAATGACTTTTAACATAGCCGGAAGTGTTAAGATGATCATATCCCTACTCAACTTATCAAATACCGTGAGCATTTGATTTTATTGATAATATAATCTTTGCAACATATTCTTCACTTACATTATGAAATTTAAATTCATTACACCCATATCGATGAAACTCACATTGAGTTAAATCAGAAATGGTTAAATTATTATTCCCGGGAACATTAAGAATCATGAGAACATAAAATACAAAAGGAATAAAAGAAAAATTATATAACTATAAAATAGAGGTAGTGAGGTTACATTTTTATAAATAAATTCTATTATCACATTTATAATTACACTAAAATTAAACAAAATTTTTAACAAACCTATACAAATAATACAGACTAAATGACAAAGGAATAAAAGAAAAATTATATAAATAAAAAAAAGAAGTAATGAGGTTATGTTTTTATAAATTGGTTCATTTAACACATTGATAATTACACTAAAACTAAACAAATTTATTAACAAACCTAGGCAGATAATACAGGCGGAGTGCAAAAGAAATAAAAGTAAAATTATATAACTTAAAAATAGAAGTAAAACTTTAAAACATTTATAAAAACATGTAAAAACTTTTTTTTAATTGGCTATTTCGAACTATTTTCTGATAAAACACCAAAAATACGTTCAATATCAGCAATAGATCGCAATTGGTGTATTTTCGAACTATCACTCTGTCTAGCAAATATACGTCCCTCCTTCGTCCAAATGTATTTCCAATTAAGACCTCTCCCAATATCACGTGCTTTTCCAAATAAAATAAAAAGTTACAATGATGAGTATTTCTTGTCATTTAAAGCCGGTTCAATATTTAACAAAATAGCGCCAGGGTCATCATCATGAGTAGATTCAGTGTCCAACGGTAAAGATGGGTCTTCATTTGGAGCGGATTCGGAGTCGGAGTGATTTGCATGCCAAAGCAATGAGTGTTTTGTTTGTTTTTTATGTCATCATCATCATCATTACAGCCTTTCATAAGTCCACTGCTGAACATAGGCCTCCCCCAAGGAATGCCACAAAGCACGGTCCTGAGCCACCTGCATCCATCGACTTCCTGCATGTCTTACCAGGTCGTCACTCCATCTCGTGGGGGATCGCCCGACACTTCGCCTACCGGTACAAGACTGTCACTCAAGAACCTTTCTTCCCCATCGGTTGTCGGTTCTTTGAGCTAGAGTTCTTTGAGGTATATGGCCGGCCCACTGCCACTTCAGCTTACTAATCCGTTGGGCTATGTCGGTTACTCTGGTTCTACTACGGATATCCTCATTCCTAAGTTTATCACCCAGAGAAACTCCGAGCATAGCCCTCTCCATAGCTCGCTGAGTGACCTTGAGCTTCCTCATACGGCCAGCAGTGAAGGAACACGTCTCAGTTCCGTATGTCATCACTGGCAACACGCACTGGTTGTACAGTCTCGTTTTCAAGTTTTGAGGTATACCTGACGAGAAGATGTGCCGTAATTTCCCGAACGCTGCCCAACCGAGTTGAATCCGCCGACTGACCTCTCGGTCGAAGTTGGACTTACCTAGTCGGACTATTTGTCCCAGGTAAACATACTCGTCAACAACTTCGAGCTTATGCCGTAGGCCGTATGAGGAAGCTCAAGGTCGCTCAGCGAGCTATGGAGAGGGCTATGCTCGGAGTTTCTCTGCGTGATAAACTCAGAAATGAGGATATCCGCAGTAGAACCAGAGTGACCGACATAGCCCAACGGATTAGTAAGCTGAAGTGGCAATGGGCCGGCCATATAGCTCGAAGAACCGACAACCGATGGGGAAAAAAGGTTCTCGAGTGGCAGCCTCGTACCGGCAGGCGAAGTGTTGGGCGTCCCCCCACTAGATGGAGTGACGACCTGGTGAGATGTGCAGGAAGTCGATGGATGCAGGTGGCTCAGGACCGTGCTTTGTGGCATTCCTTGGAGGAGGCCTATGTTCAGCAGTGGACTTGTGAAGGGCTGTAATGATGATGATGATGATGATGATGATACGTATAATAGGTGATGTGGTGATACAGAACAGATGTAGGCTAGTCGTGCATAAGTGTTAGACTGTGGCGCTGTGAGCTGCAGGTTCGAATCCCGCACTGTAAAGTATTTGTATGGCCTACAAATAATTGATCACTGTTAATTTTTTATCTTGTGTAAGGTATGTATGTAAATGCCTCATTGGGGTTGCATTTTCAAAAAATTATAAAAATATAGAGAAGATGTCCTTAGAGCAATTCAGGGATGCCAGTCATCCGTACTATTTCACTGAAAAGTCATTTACTTGTTGTCATTTTTACATTTCCTCGTGTATTTAAACCTTGGAAATCAGAGTGCCATTCGATCCAAGCAGACAGACATTATTAATGGCAATTATAGGCGACGATGGGCTTGACAATGAAAGGAACAACCCTAAAGAAATATATATTTGTTATATAGTTGATAGTTAACAATAGTTGACTAGTAAATGAATGGGCAAAACGTAAGGCGAGGCGACGATAGTAAAATAAAAAATGTGTATCCACTTCAATAATTTCATTTAGTAGGTCAATACTTACAGGAATGAGTACTGTGTAGTTGTCCATTAAAATCAAAACGATAAATTATAAATTAAAATTAAAAATTTTGTACAACTGACTTCAATATAAATTATTAAGAATAACTCAAAAACTATTAGTCAGACATTGATCAAATTTATATGGGACCACATGTGAAGCACCAGCTTTTATATAAAAAAGAATCATAGAAATCGGTTAACTCAGTAAAAAGCTATGAGGTAACTCACATAAAAAAACATATAGTCGAATTGAGTACCGTCTCCTTTTTGAAGTCGGTAGAAAAATAACCTATGGAGCAAAGGAAGTAAAAAGTTGACAAACGAAGTCACTAATTGTAAACAATTTATAGATAATATGAACAATATTTGATTGAATCTCCTACGTACTATATAAAATAGAAAAAAGTGAAAATAAAAAGTGAGACTAGAGTGGGTTATATTTTGGCTTAACTGTTACTTATAATTTCTTTCATAAAATTATTTTATAATGTTTTGCGTGGTAGAACCACGTTGAAGCTATATAATGGATGTTGCACGAATGGCCCACCACGGCTGGGAAGGATGAAGCTCTCACAGAACAATAGCGATTTAATGCTGCTGTATGACCAGTGATCAGTGAGTTTGTATGATCTGTGACGGTAACCGCAGACTTATTTCAACAATAACGAGGCATTTCATCATCTCTTAGGTGTGTCAAAGTATCTATGTTTGTATCTATAAGTAGCTATGTTTTTATTATTTTTAAGTCCGTTACATTAGGATTTTCTAATCTATGGTGGAGGCAGCTTACATACATAAATAAAGATAAACACAGATAAACATCCAGAGCCGGATTAATTATTTATTGTAGGCCATACAAATACTTGTTCCGTTCAGGATTCGAATCCGCGGCCCTCAGCGCAGCAAATAAAAAAAAAACTAAGCCACTGCGCCACGGAGCCGTCATTTTGACTGTTAATTGAGAATACACGTAGTGATCTATATTATGCCAGAGCATCCACTTACATGGATAAATCGACTGTCTAGAGGACAAACGTGCTAATTACAGGATCGTTAATATTCAGGAGAGCGTTTTAATAATAATTTCTTTATTTCGGCCAACAAGGATCATATTACATAATTAGTATAATTAGGTGATAACGTAGCCTATTGTTAGTAATTAGTTATAATAATAACGAAAAGTTACATAAAAATAAATAGGAGAAAAAATTAAAATCTTTCGGAAGAACATGGCGGATTTCGGATAATTTATTTGCCAGTACATGAACCATACAACAATGTTTTAAAGTTTAACAAGTTCTGTACAGTATCGATATAAATGTAGTCCGTAGCGTTTATAACTCAAGGCCCTTAAAAATATAAATTATGTGAAAAGGGAACAAATAATGCTACAATTTGTACGACAACGAGGAGTTATTGGCTTCGCCGATAAAAGAGTTGAAATCTCCTTAGCAGTCGCTAAAATCATAAGGACCACGCATAACGCCAATCATAACGCCAAATGACACTTCTTGTACGCTATCAGAAATACTCAGAACCAGAAACTTTACATTATGTGACAGTATATTTCAGTATTGTAAGTTTAGAAAACTGAAAAAATACGGTTTTCATTTTACACTAGCAAAATCACTTACATTATAAAGAAACGTACATACCATTTTTATTTCTTTATGATATTCCTATAACGTATAAGGTAAGTTATGGTAATATGGTCGCCTTAAGTTTTGTCGCCCAATAAAACCAAATCTAGAAGGAGGACAGAGACAAATCACAAAGTCGTATACTAAAACTAATATATTAAGAAAAAACTAGCAAACAAGCTTTGGCAATAATTAGGAATACTTCGAAAAATCAAAAAATAACTATGTTTCACAATATTAAAATCGACTAAAATATTTACAATAATTTCAACTGTCAAAATGGTGGTCGATAAAGCAGAGCCCTTCTGACCCTTTGTTCTTTGATTGACTCATCAAGAGCTATCGTATCACAAAGCCGTCTGCAAACAAGGCTGTAATTTTTGAGTTATAAGAAAGTGACCATATTGACCGAATGACCATATTATCCTCACAACTATATTTTGTATAGATCATTAAGGTACGTTCTCTCTTATTCTTTGGTCATTAAATTTATTATTTAAAGAAAGTTTCATTTTAAAGAATTTTGATTCTTAATATAGTTGAAGGATACAATGAGGCTGAAGAAAGAGGCCGCTTCCGGGGTGAAAGCCTCAAAATGTTAAAAAAAAATTAATATTTGTGTTTCCAGTTTAAAAAAAAAAACAGGAAAATTAGCTTACATAATACATGATTTTCATTGAAATCTCATTCGTTCTCATTTTTAGATTAAGTTTCCAAACTGGGTTCTAAGTAACGCTACTACAAGTCGTCTGAAATGTCAACGTAATTAAGGCATCCTAATCGAGTGTGTATGAACAACGTATTTCGTATTCATAGAAACAGTCCCCGAATGGCAGTACAGAGTAATTATAAATAGAGA